GAATCTGGCGTAGAAGCATCTTGCACTTGGTACCATCTCACCAGAGGTTGTGATCACTAGAGGAGTGAAGCTGCCTTTATCAACATTCTTAATTCTCTCCCTATATGCTCTTATCTTGTCGTTCTCGTTCCTCCTGTGTGCAGCATCGAGTGCTAAGTTACGGTGACATGCGGCCATGGGATCAAAAATCCTGATGTCGAGGAAGGCTTGTTGTCCCCGTGTCCAGAGTCCTCAAGCACTGACGTCAACACAGGCTTCGTTGGATGTTTTTGAAGTTTTATGTTGGAAAATCTCACCGTCGAATGGAAGGATCGTCGGTTCTACACTGACATCACGACAGATTTCCTTCAACATATTTGCTGTGAGATCCCTTACTTCGTCATGCCGCATGCATATGAAGACCCCCTTTCTTGCACACCATGGCATGATCGACGTCATAGGAAAAGCCACACACGCTTTGGGAGGGCAAACCTTCTACTGGCCTACCGTACCATTAGAGCATTGGCATCTGTAAATTCTTGTTTATTGAGACTGAAACCATTTGCCCTTATCGGAAACGTAGTTAACCTGTTCGAGGCACCCATCTCCTGCGCTATAGCTACTTTTTTTCTTTAAATTATCTGGTACTTGCAGCAACAGTTGCTGCAACTTATCACTTTGGCCGTGCTGTCGTTCTGTCGCAATGGACCTTCGAATCTTGTTACTTCTCTGGTATCCACCTCCCCTGTTGCTATCTGAGCTATTATGTGGTCCGTGCGGGCTGCCGTGAGCTTAACTGAGTTTTGATGTTTGGTGGTAGCAATATCCTCTGGATTGGTCAATCCTATTCCTCCCAATCTCGGTGGTAGTGCAAGGAGTGATCTTTCTGCTGGGGTTAAGTAAGGGTGTTTCACTAATTTGGGAATGAAATTGACGCTGATAGCTTCTTCCAGAGGGTGGAGGAGGGGTCCGATATCAGGGATAGTGCGTATCAGGTAGTTCCAGCGATGCTTGACTCCATGGGTGAATGCCGCAAAAACCCCATGTGGCTCTGTGTTAGCAATCTCAGACAGCTTGGATTTCCCTAACCCACTCATTCACCTTTCCCGTTACGTACTCGGTCTTAAAGTCCGTTGTGCCGATTACTTTGGCCATTCTTTGTTATTTTGACCTCACTTCCACCCAACACCTCCATTGCCTGTTCATAATGTTCTGGCTTCACAATGAGGAAGGACTTGCTGGCGTTTGGGTGGTACCCTATTTGTGGACCACGTGATGTTATCAGGTCCCACCATTTTTTTATGTCCTCCACTTTAATAATAATAATAATAATTAACGGTTTATTGAAAGAGCTTGGCAGCCAGAATGCTGAAAATATACAGTTACATATTTGGGGAATGGGTTTCGAATTACAAAGAATATACAAATAACATAAGTGATATAAATACGATATATAATAACTAGATGGGGAAAAGCTCAAACTACAGGGCATTTCAACATAGTGACAGTGCAAGAAATAGTATTTACTGGGAGTGAATACACTGGTTTATTACACGTTATTGATAATTTTTACAATGGTTGGGACTGGGCTGTTCTTATAGCGATCAGTTCGTGCACGTATGGGCTGGATGCGGTTGTGGTGTCGAACAGCAATTCTCGGGCTAGGGATCTCAGGTGGTAGTAGGAGCCGGTGTCGAGGATGGTGCAGAAGCTTCTTACCAAATTTGCAGATGAGGTCGTGGTGATGGTCAGTGAGAGTCGAAAGGGTCAGTGTGTTGAGTGCTTCTTGATTTGTGGAGTAGGAAGGGGAGAGAATAATCTTGCATGCCCTCTTATGCACTCTTTCTAGGTGTTTACATTGTGTGGCATTTAGGGAGGAAGACCAGGTATGGGAGGCATAGGTGAGTTTGGGAAGTATGAATGTTGAGTAAACACTGAGGAGCTCTGGTGCAGGAACTCCGAGGGACTTGAGTCGGCGGAGGAGGTGGAGACGGAAACTGGAGGATTTGACAACTTCTCTGACGTGTGGTTTCCAATTTAGTTTGTTGTCTATGGTGACGCCGAGGAGCTTCGTGGAATCCACAACCTGGAGTGTGTTCGGACCTAAAGTAATGGAAACGGGTGGGACAATGTCGGAGGAGAGGCTGATGTGCATAACCATGGTCTTAGTATAGTTGATGGTGACGTGGTTGTTGGTGGCCCAGTTTTGGAGAATGTTCAATAAATCCTGAAGGGCGGTATAGTCGGGAGCAGAATTGTTGACGCTGATCCCAATGGTGGAGTCGTCGACATATTTCCAGTGAGTGGGGGTTTCGCTTAGGGCATCATTGATAAGCATAAGGAAGCAGAGTGGTCCCATCTTGGTGCCTTGGGGGACGCCACAGGTGAGTGACTGAAAGGTGGAGACAGCCCCTCGGAAGCGTACAGCTTGGCGGCGGTCACTGAGGAAGTCTGTAAGCCATGGTATAAGACTTCTCCGAAGTCCGAGGTCAATAGCTTTGTTGATGATTATATTGTCAACAAAGCTATTTTCCTGCTCCTGTAAGGCTATCAGCGTACGCCACTTGCTTGACCTTAGTTGCTTCAAATTTTATTGTGTGTTGGAGCACGGATAGGCCTATTGCATACATTGCCATTGCAACAAGGTCCCCCTGCGTTGTTCCCTCGGTTGACTGTATGATGGTATCACCTCTTGGAGCCTTGTTGTTTACTATATAGAGGTCTGATGGATTCCTATAGGAGTTTTCAACATACATTGCAAAGCTTGGACACCTAATCTTGATGTTGAGCAGTGCGGCCTTGCGGTTAAGTATGTTGAACGCGTTTGAAGCGTCCACCAGGAGAACGTCCTCACAATCACGCTGCTCAAATATCGTTCTCATGGCGTGAATGGCAGCTTCCCCTCCAGCCTGGTGGCCAGCACAAACTTGCAGGTTCTCTGCTGATGCACTGACATCATCCTTTACCACCTCCATTATGCATTTTCAGATGATTCGCCTCAGCACTACTACTACTACTACTTTGCTGTCACTAGGAATCGAGTATGACGATCATCCAGCTATGATACAATGATATGAGTCATTAGGGATGTCACCTAGGTCGGTGAGCTTTGAGATGACGAAAAAGGCCGATACGGGACCCGCAGGGTCATCCACATTCGTTGCACATGTGGAGGGCTGCGTCTAGTGCTGGCGGGACGGTGGCAGCATCTTTCCGGCATTGCCGCTTGTCTGCCTCGCTTTGCAGTCGGGCTGCCTCGAAAGTAGTGACACATTCTCGCGTGGTGCACCTCCAAGCGTTACGATGTGGAGTAATCGACTCCCAGGTGAAGGGGTCGATTTGGCACTTTTTCACTTATGTCTTAAAACTATCCTTGTACCTTTTCAATTGCCAGCCGGCGTTACATTTACTATTCGTAAATCAATTTTTAAATACACTGTAAAGAGGCAAATAATAAAATTATCCTGTATTCTGAATTATTGATGATTATAATATAAACCATTTTATTGCTCTTAAATCCATTTGGTTTCGTCTGGTCGCCAGGTCAACCGTCCAGTCACCACGGCAACACCTCTCTGGCCATGACAAGCTTCCTGTCGTCATGATAACCGCCAATCACCATGATAATTACTCAGTTTTAGTGTCATCAGCTCAGAACTAATGGCAACATTTCAGTTGTCATAGTATTCGCTCAAAAGTCATGTCAACCTCGCAGTGGTTATGTCAACCACAATCATGCTATTTTAAGAGAGGGTCAGTTGACATGGTAATCATAGAGTTGTCATGGAAACCGACTTAATTTTTTCGACAGTCGTTATTGTTCTTATAAATACTTAAGTTTCATGACAAAGGTTCTGTTATGGCATTACAATATAATAAAATTCATCCAATATGAAGCTCATGAGTCATTAGTTATACACCTGCACAAAGCAATGGATGTACATTACAGTAGTTTCCTTTGTTATTATGCATGTAATTTTTACCTTCCTTTGTTTGTATTACATGTGTAATAGTTTGAAATTTGACCATTAAAATGGGGTTCATTCGAATGAGGGAAGATCAGAGAAAGCATGTAATATTAACGTATAATTTGCTAAAGTTAGCGAAAGTAATTCTCAAAAACATTAGTGTACGTACATGTTTATCAAAGCTAAGTATCTTGAGGCCTTGAGAACTATACACGTCACAAGAAACAATGACAACAGTGTAGCTTAATCTCACAGGTTAGCCACATGAGGGAAGCCTTGTCCAGGCAGGTCTATACCTACTACGTGGGTATAGTTGTTAGATTTTCTAGATTAAATTACTATGTTAAATAATTTAAAATTAGATAAGAAACTCACTACTAAATAATCGTAGGAACAGAATAAAATCACTGAGAATGTGAGGTCATGCCTACAATAGGCCTAGATTTGGGGGCGCACTTGGTTTGATATTATAAATCGTAAATAAGCCTCGAAGTAACGTTTTTTTGCCCTCAATGGATATTTTAAAATTTTAATTTTATTCCCTAGGGTTATTAATTACCTAAAAAAAGATGACGAAATAATCGGGACCTCAAGCCTATCGTCTAAGGCGGTGGTCCCCAACCTGTCGCACGGCTCCGTTGAACCTTATTATGGAGCCCGGAAGGTTTATTAGAAATTGTGAAATATTTGGGATTGTTTGTAGGAGTGAAAACACTGAAACTATTTAATAACTTGATATGATTTAAATGATTGAATGAGTAGTGAGAGACGTTTGTCACGAGTCCGTCGTGTATAGGACTTGCATATTTACCCGATATATTTTACAGTGTGGATAGATAGATATGGAGTTACATAGAAAGACACAAAACGAAATAATACAATATGAATATACAGGCAAGATATAGAATAAATTGTTAGGACGTAGAGATAAAAAAAAATATATATAACACAAAGTCATCCAACATCCCTGACTCCACATAATGACTCAGCATGGACAGTATGGTCGGTCATATTGAGTTTGCAAAAAACAGAACCAGCTACACCACCCACCTCTCCTTCTCAGTACCTATCTTGACACGGTCGGAAGATGTCGACGACTGACGAAGCAACAACAATAGGAGCACCTGTAGAGGTAGACCTGATGGGGTCGAAATTCACTGCCGTTGATTACACCATCTTCAGTTTCATATTGGCGGTGTCTGTAGGAATCGGGATCTACAGTGCCGTGAAGAGTCGGGGGAAGGAGTCAACGCAGGAGTATATGCTCGGGGGGAGGAGCATGTCGCCCTTACCTGTGGCCATGTCACTCCTGGGTGGTGTTATATCTGCAATATCTATACTAGGTGAGTGAGGGACAGTTATTGGCCAGTGCCTCATGGGACTCTCTCTCTCTCTCTCTCTCTCTCTCTCTCTCTGGGAACACCCTTTATCCCATTTCCGTCTTAAATTAAATAGTAAGCAAATTTGAGAAAAGTAACGGGTGTCAATTGATAAGTTTTCAAGACGACAGAAAAACACCTTAATGTTCACCAGCAGAAAAATATTTTGACCAAAGAAAATGAACTTCGCTGCTAATGGGCTTCAATGTTAATGGGCCCCAATTCTAAGGAGCCTCAGTTTTAAGTAGCCCTCAAATGGATCCCAAGCAAAATGGTCTGTAAGGTTAGGCTGGTGTATGTTTAGACGAGGAGCCACTTAACTGGTGAACGTTCATGAGGTTATACGTATACTTGTTTATTTTATGACACTCGTGCACTTATTTGGCCGTTGTACCTCAGGATGATGCTGATTATGGAAAAAGTGTTGGCTACTCTCTCTTTCTGTAGAGTTCATACTATAGATATTGTTATCGCCGCTGGCTTCAGCTACAGTGGCGGCGTGTGCTGCCATTAGATCTTTCGACCTGTGACCTCGCCAGATGTAGAAGTGTTTACAGACAAGTCCTGGTTCTGCTGAGTGGACTGTCTTCGGCAGGTGGTGATGAAGGCCCGCCCCGCCATGAGGCAGATCGCTCTCTCTAGTGATGCTGTGAAGACCAGCCCTCCGCTCGCACTGGTGAACACCGACTCACAATCCTGTCCGAGAATTTGTTCTGGGACAATTTACGCAGTACTGTTGTCTCTTGGAACATCATACTGATCTGCATTGATCCACACTTGTAAGTACAGCCTAAGTGATGACATACTCCTCAGTACTGAAATATTGTTGACTAATTACGCCTACTAATTTCTGCCTTATCGGGAGTAATAAGACAATGCGGAATCAAGTGTAGCTAAGATTAATAGAGTTATAAACTTTGTGTTATGGCACTATGTTTAATAAATAGTAATTAAGATAAAATTATGTGAGACTAACTAATTATGTATCAGATGGATCACCATGTAATAATATAAACGTCTTCTGCTCTGTAAGTTTTGACCACATCAATAAATATTGAATGCGTCAAAAGGCGGGTTTCAATCATTCCCTTCGACTTGCCGGTCACCTGGACGTACTTAACCAAGGCGTTTACAATCAAGACAAGTACGAGAGGGCGTCGAAGGGAATTTTCGACCGCCAGGAGGACTACAGAACCGCATAACAGCTGATCCACCTACACCTGTGACGTACCGTGGTTGCACTGATGAGACATGTAGAACACCTACAGAGTGTATCAAATATCAAGTAGAATTTGGATTTTCTCTTAATAAAGGTTGTCAAGCATTATAAACACCTAAAAACTAGTCTAAAATTTAAATATCTTTCCTCAGATCATTTGCTGTCAAGACATATATACTTATATTGAAATTCGCCTCTCCAAGAATTTTGCAGAATTCTTATTGATAATGAAAGTTTATTTAGCCAGAAGAACACAGATATTATAATAATAATAATAATAATAATAATAATAATAATAATACTACTACTAATAATAATAATAATAATATAATAATAATAATAATAATAATAATAATAATAATAATAATAATAATAATAATAATAAAAATAACAATAATAAAAATAAAGATAATAATAATAATCATAATAATAATAATCATAATAATAATAATAATAATAATAATAATAATAATAATAATAATAATAATAATAATAATAATAATAATAATAATAATAATAATAATAATAATAATAATAATAATAATAATAATAATAATGATAATAATAATATTGATAATAATAATAATAATAATAATAATAATAATAATAATAATAATAATAATAATAATAATAATAATAATAATAATAATAATAATAATAATAATAATAATAATAATAAAGAACCATGAAGAAATACAAAAATTGAAAAGGGACCAATACTGAGAAACGATATATGTCTGTTGTGTTGTCAAAGGTAAGAGAAACAATTGAGACCCTACAATTGTTTGCAAATGAGGCAGAAAGTCAGATTAGCAACCTGGGACTTGGTCAAAATTTCGTGATGCCATATGGCAACAGGTTCTACCATTAGACAATACATTATGCTTCCAATATCTTCTGAGGCGGGAGTACCTCCCTGTTTTACAGCTGCCTACTACCTACTACCCAACAACAACTCTTAGGAAATATAATATCACCGTTTAACATAAGATTTCATGCTTATCAAAAGAAAGGGACTGGTAAAAACTGTAGCACCATCACATAATGGGAACACAACAACCGCTATGATGCCAACACGAGGTAACAATACGTTATATCCACAATAATATTAAATTACGACATTCGCTGAAGATTATTGAGGATTTACAGATTGTATACAAAGAAAAGGTGAACAGTCTCCACAACTTGATTAGTTGGAATCTCTTCTTTATTTCCCTACACACTACTACTAGAAATCTCTGCACAGCATCTTCGTCAGTCTTCAGGCATATCTTATAATGCTGTAGCCTTTGGAAGGTGGCATGTAATTGCGATCTCGAATATATCTGATTGACTGGTACATATAGGGAATCATCGGTTGGATCAATACTATGCATTTGGAGTTTTATACAATCTGTAAATGGCAAAAGGAGTTTAGCAATAACCTATTCAGTTGACATATGTTTTTACGGATTAAATGCAAAGTTAGGGCTCTAATTCATGCAGTCATCAGTCTGTCTTGGTAATTGGTGTATTTACTGTCTTTATTACACACGCAATGAACATAACTAATATCTTTTATGTGGAATACATGTCCGGAAAGTATCCAGCCATTGTGAATATTGTGAGAACTGGTCGTGCGGCCTTGATGTAACTTGACAGCCACTCAGAGAGGACCATACTGCACATGCGTGAACAGCCACACTCCGGTGGGACAACTCAGTTGCCCGGCAGACGCCGTTGAGTGAGCATGGGTACTGTGTGACCGTCGCATTCACAATGACCGAGCAAGTAGATCAGCGAAACTGCATCAAGTTTTGTTTCAAACTTGAGCATTCATTCGCAGAAACTATTCGAATGATTAAGAAGGCTTTCGGGGATGACTCAATGAGTGAAGCCCAGATAAAATTGTGGTACAAACGCTTCAAAGATGGCCGGGAATCCGTTGCAAGTGATCCACGTTCTGGAAGCCCTTCAACAAGCAGAACACCCGAAAATATTGAACGTGTGCGGGCTGCAATCAATGAAAATCGGCGATTGACAGTGCGAGAATTAGAAGAAGATCTAGGGATTCCACGGACTAGTGTTTCAGAGATTTTGACGAAGGATCTTGGCATGAAACGCTTGACTGCAAAATTCGTTCCGAAGCTCCTGTCACGAGAGCAGAAGGAATTTCGTGCAGAAGTTGCAGAGGTTTGCTTCAAACCGCTTACAATGACCCACATTTCCTCACAGGTCATAAACGGAGATGAGTCGTGGTTCTACGGCTATGACCCTGAAACAAAGGCCCAGTCTTCTCAATGGAAGTTGCCTGCATCTCCACGTCCTAAGAAGGCACGGCAAAGTCGGAGCAACGTCAAGGCCATGTTGACGGTGTTTTTTGAACATGAAGGTGTTGTCCACTACGAGTACGCTCCTCCAGGTCAAACAATAACGAAGGAGTACTACATCGAAGTTCTTCACCGGCTGAGGAATGCGGTAAGAAGAAAATGACCGCAGCTATGGGCAAGTGGTGACTGTCAGCTTCTTCATGATAACGCGCCTGCCCATTCTTCACGTCTCGTACAGGATATTTTGGCAAAACACCGCATCACCCAGGTCTCTCAGCCTTCCTACAGCCAGATTTGACTCCCTGCGACTTCTGGCTTTTCTCAAAGCTAAAATCGCCGTTGAAAGGGAGGAGATTTCAGACCGTGGACGAGATTAAGGAGAATGCGACGAGGCAGCTGATGAAGATCCCGAAAGAGGACTTTGCATACTGTTTTGAAAAGTGGAAGGGACGCTGGGAGAAGTGTGTGAGGTCTCAAGGAGAGTACTTTGAAAGGGACTAACGCGCCATTGTCCTAGGTAAGCAATATTTTTTTAATATTAAATGGTTGGATACTTCCCGAACAGACCTCGTATGTGCAAGTAAACTTATGTTTAATTAGCGGTTCTCTGCAATATCGCTATATTCGGGGAAATCCTCTGCAGACCACATGGGTGCACGGAGATTATTTAATGCTCGTCAGAGTCAAGCTCTTGACTAGCTTGAGTACCAGGAGCTCCGACGAAGGCATATCGTCAGGTTTGCCATAAATACTTAAGTGCCGAGACATCATAAACGCCACCGCATCTCAAGACAGCAAGAGGGTATGGAAGAACTAGTAAAAACTTGTACCTCTGCTCCGGGTGGCACGTTTGCCCATTGTGATGAGCCTGGTGGTGGTGCCTTTGATCAACCTGACACGTCTTCACCCTGCTGCGGCCACACCGAGCGCCGCGACGTGCGGAACTGTCCTAATCGCAGCGTTTTGGGCAGATTATGATGCCATTCAGGTGATTTAGTGTTTGTTTCCTTCTTGTATTTTAGCCTAAAATGTGATAGCACTGCTCAATAAGTGGTCGCGTAAATTTTCCCAGCTCTAATTCTCGGACAGGATTGTGAGTCGGTGTTCACCAGTACGATCAGAAGGCTGATCTTCACAGCATCACTGGAGAGGGCGATCTGCCTCAAGGCGGGGCGGGCAGCACTGCCACCCTTTGAAGACAATCCACTCAGCAGAACCAGGACTTGTCTGTAAACACTTCTACATCTGGCGGGGTCACAGGTCTAAAGATTTAATGGCAGCACACGCCAGCACTGTAGCTGAAGCCAGTGGCGATAACAGATTTCAATGTGGTAGGAGTAACACACACACACACACACACACTACTACTATTACTACTACTTTCTTCTCTCTTTTTTTTTCAAAATTAAGGCCTCCAGCCTTCCCCAATAGCCACACCTTCACCTTCATTTTCTTACCTTAAAATTAAATATCCTAATACAAAAGTAGCTATCCTAACTGTACTGAGTTAGTTGAACCTCAGGTCTATGCGGCATTCAGTGACTGTTGCCTCGTAGTCAATATCTGCAACTGCTGTCGGCTTTGGGGCCGATGCTCTCATTCCCCTGAGGCAGAGCAAAGCTGTAACATAACTTCAGATAGCACCTCCGCGAGTCTGGCTTATAAGGCTCTTGCACTTGGTCCCATCCCACCAGAGGTTGTGAATACACGAGAAGTGAAGCTGCCTTGATCAACGTTCTGAATTATCTCCACTTATGCCCTTATCTTATTGTTCTCGTTCCTACTACTACTACTACTACTACTACTACTACTACTACTACTACTTTGCTGTCCCGGGGAATCGGATATGATGATCATCCAGCTATGACACAATGATATGAGTTATTGAAGATGTCACCTTCGTTTATAAACTCTAAGATGATTCGAGAGGCAGATGGGGACCGGCAGGGCCGTCCACAGATGTTGCACGTGTGGAGGGCTGCATCTAGTGAGGAAGGGGCAGCAGCAGCATCCTTCCAGCGTTGGCGCTTGTCTGCCTCATTATGCAGTCGGGCTAACTCGAAGGTATTGACATCTTCTCGTGTGGTGCTCTCCAACCATTGCGGTGTGAAGTGATCGTCTACCAGGTGAGGGGGTTGATTTGGCACTTTTCCAGGTTTGTCTTAAGATTAATCTTATACCTTTTCTGTTGCCTGCCAGCGTTACGTTTGCCATTCCTTGGGCGACTGTAAACTACCTGCATTGGCAGTCTACTGTCGTCCATATGGGTAACATGTCCAGTCCAACATAGTCGTCCATGGATAATGGTAGCCTCGATGCTCCTACAGTTGGTGTCAGCAAGAATACTGGCATTTGTTCTCTTGTCTTCTAAGCAAACTCGGAGGATGAAACTTAGACTACGTTGGTGAAAGTTTTCGAGTGCTAACATCTCATCTGATGATGAATCTCTTCATAGATGTGTGCCGTGGTGGACCAGCGGAAATCGAGATAATGAAACTGGATATCATTAGAGAGGGTAGTACCGTTAAGCTGGTTAGATGATGGAAGTGTGGTTGAACCGAGGGCAGGCTGAAAGAGAATCTGAGTCTTAAGTGCATTCACCTCAAGGCCAAGGTATGACTACGCATCTGAGTAGGTGTACAGGATATCCTGCAGGTCACGTTCAGTATGAGCGACTTGTGTGAGATCGTCTGTATACTGAAGTTCAGTGATGGAAGCGGCCAATACCTTTGTTTCTGCCTGGAGTCGTCTTATGTTAAAAAGGTCCTTCATCCGGTACTGGATGTCCACCTCGCCGACTGAATTGGCACTGGCACTAGTAAGGAATTCAGCCAAGAAAATGGAAAAGATTGTTGGCACCAGTACACATCCTTGTTTTACCCACGTTTGGAAGGGGAAAAACTCAGACTGGGAGTTATTGCATAGGACACTGCCGTTGAAGCAATCGTGGAGTTGCCACACAATGGCAAAGAATTGAAATTCTACGAGGAAGTTTTCCTTCTCTGGAAGAAATCTGTTAAGGAGGAATTCGGGCGATAATCTTGCCATCTACGGACTGCAGTGAGATACCCCGGTAGTTGCCACAGTCTGACCGGTGTCCCTTGTTCTTATAAATATTGGCGTCTTTAAGATCTTTGGGGATTTCCTCT